AGGAGCGGATACTGGGTCCAGCGGTTGTACCGCTTGTTTCTTTGATGGTCTGGGGAAGAGACTATGTAAAATTTAGTTCTCCAGTCCTTCCATTTGTTCTCTTTCCCAGCGTCATCATATAACGGGTGTGGCTGGTCAGAGTAAATCAGCCGATCCCGCTTGGATTGGGAGTCTTGCTCAAGTAATGCATGTGAGAAAACGCCTCGAACCTGGGCTCCACCTACAGCATCTCACAGGCGGCAACGTAGCCCAAAATGTTGACCCAAGAGTTGGGGGCTAGTTGCCAGATACCCAGCTGGTATCCGTCCAAAATCCTCTCCACGACCGGATGGAGAGGGAAGCGAAGTCTTGCCTAGATGGCTGCTTTGTAGCAGCCAAAGAACTGGTCACCATAGCAGGCCATCTCACGCCAGGTGACCGTGTCTATAGCACCCGGCACGGACAGAAGAAACCCACGTCCCATGACATGGGTAGAAAGAAATTTGGGAAGATCATCCTTCATGATCTTCCGCCTGCCTTCTAGGACATGCAAATAATAAGGCGCACGTTCATGCCGCCTGGAAGCACACGGCTCCTCCCAGCCCTCTCCCTTCTCAACGGAGAGGGACTATCTGGCAGCTTGAAGGTTTGTTTGCGCCTCCTCCGAGTCAAGGGGGACGTAGTTGGAAGATGAAGACGCAGAGTCATCATCAGAGCTCTCTTCAGAGCTGGGGGCCCGCTGGCTGGAACTAGTAGTGTCCTTCCCCTGATCATCATCCGGCACCGATCCACTCGGCCCGGGGTTCTCATACTCTTCGTCACACTCCTCCAAGAATGAGTTGTAATCCCCCGTATTTTTAAAATATTTTATAAATGAAATTTTATTTTATTTATAATATTTATTTGTTATTTTCTGGAATTTAATTTCAAAATTTTCAAATTAATAATCTGGGTCAAAAATTATTTGAAAAAATATTTTATGCACCTTTATTCTACAATTTATGTCCAATCAAACAAGCCTAACCCATTTGTTTACTTAATTGACCCATTATTTTTATGAGGCCTAATCTTCCTATTTACCCTACAATTCTCTCCTATAAATACCCCATGAATCCCCAAAATTTTCCCACACAAAAAGGTTAGCCTTATTTTCTTTCTCCTTTGTTTTATTAATTTGTGTAATTATAATTATTGATTTATGGGTTTGATTTTATTGTTTGAAATTAATTTAATTAGTATCAAATTGTATTTTGATGATTAAACTTTATAATTTCAGATTTTATAAATGTCATAATTTTCGTAGATTTTATAACCTAGGGTTTTTAATTATTGAAAATCATGATTTTAGGGTTTTTATGAAAAATTGATTTAAGGTTTTTATAGTAATGATGTTTTAAAATTTTGGTGATTATAACTAATGATTAGTTTAAATTAATTCCCGATTATTTTGAACATGTAAATTCGTGTTTAAATTTTAATATTTTCGTTCGTTAATATTAATTCTTTTTCAATCCCGATACGGTTCTGAACTCATCCGATTTTGATGAAAAAGTAGTGTTTTTCATGTGGAAACAACGTTTTAAGAAAGACTTTGGTAGTGAGCACCACCCTCTCGTGGACAAATTCAGCCTCTAAATATGATTTTCAGGCAGTTTTTGATTTTAACGAAGTTTTTTTATACTTAAAATATTATCCTTGAGTTTGATTAATAAAATTAATTATGTTTAAAGTTAATTAAGCAAAAATATATGTTTTTATTGAAGTTTTAAGTGCTGAAAATAGTTTCTAAGTATTACTTTTGATGTTTTATAAAGACCCATTAAAAAGGGAGATTATTAGGGGTTTTTAAATAATTTTAAGATTTTTATTAAACTTTAAACTTGCTGTAACATGTATAAGAGTGTATTTTAAGGTTTTTATGAAGAAAATTTAAAGAACTATATATAAGCCTTTAATTTTAACTAAAGGGAAGGTTTTAAAGTGTTGTTTGATTTGGATTTTGAAGGTTTTAAAGTAAGTTAGTATTGCTGTAAATTTGATTATTGATTGAGATTTTGTTGTCTGGTTTAGGAGAAGACTTTATAGAAGGTGTTTTTAGTTGGAAAAGTGGTTTACCAATTCGTTTATTCAAGGTATGTATGAGTTACAAAACCTTGCCTTTAGAAGCATGTTTAGGAACGTAACGAGAACTTAGTATCATGTATAGAGAAGACTGGAATGATTGTTTGGGTATACATTGTGATTTCCGTATGATGTGCACTATTTTACTTTGTAAATATTATTTATGCATTAACTTTGCAAGATGCGCTTAGAGGTACAGGTATGTGAATATGTGGAATGATTCATTTATTACTCATTCATGATTATACAAACAGGATGAGTAAAGGAAGAATTCAAGTCTTATAAGATGAGATTAAAGTTTTGGGGTGCCTTATGCACTCAAGGTGTTTATACACCGAGGTAGTTAAAGGAATAATTAATAAATGTTGCTTGTCACTAATAAATCAAGAATTGAAATTGGAAATAAATGTTGCTTGTCACTAATAAATCAAGAATTGAAATTGGAAAGTTGTTTTACTTGATTGAATTGGTATTGGATTGATTGTATTATTTGCATATGAGTCATCACCAAGTCTAAACCTTTAAATCACGTAAAGTGCAAGATGGATGAACAATAAAACTCTGGATTGGTGCACTTCTGGAGTAATGACAATCAGGGGTTGGGGTACACGGGGTATTAGCCGTGTACTTTTATCGAGGCCGTCTGATCTACGAGTCTCCTATTTCAAATATTTTTTTTAAAACTAGGAGTTAGGTGAGATCTCATACTAACTATGGTCACGGAGTCGCGCCCGTGGTCGTTGGATGTTTATTGATAAAGGAGGCATGGGATTTTTCTTTTATTGATGTTTCAAATGGGACATGGTTAGACAACCTTGTCTATTGCTAAATCCAATGAAGTAAATAAATGAGTTAGTTAACATTAACTAGTGAGGTCTTAATAAATTTGATGGTTGAGTCATGTGTTGAGTCTATAATTTAATGATGCTTATGCTTGATTATTAGTAGCATGTTAGGTATTTCTTAATTTATTTTCGCATCTTGTATGTACTCAGCTTTGCTGATTGCGTGCTTTTGTATATGTCTTTCTTTGGTCATGGCCTTCGCCTTTCAATGACCCTATGACGATCCAATTTTTACACTTGTAATATTGGGGAGCAGATTAATCACAGGTTCTTACACACGCAGCATTCGCATCAGGGTTGTTGGATTTTGAGTGGAGAGTTGGTTATTATTCGCAGTTTATTTATTTTCATAAATTTGAATTTTATTAAACTCTGGTTTATTTATTTACTACTTTTGTGGGGTTTTGAATAAGGGCCTTAATGGTTCCAAGTTGTATGATTTAATTTGGTTTTGGTTATTGGTTTTGAAAATTATGTATATTTGTTTTAGTTTTTCCGCTGCTATTTTCTGAAAAAGCCTTAGCGTTTGAACACGTGGCGGTAGCACGCCAGTAATTCTCTTGGAATTGTTTAGGTTATTCACAGGTTTTTAAGGGAGAATTATTGGGGTGTTACATGAGTCATTGGGGGTGCTGGCGGTGCTAGGGGGTTCGCTACTTATTTCCGAGACAGGCGCCCTAATGGAGCCGTCAGAAAAAAAACAGTCTCACTGTTTGAATGGTACCAAGAACCATCCGTCCTATATCTCCTTGTCGTCTGCTTTGTTCTGGCCATCGTGTCCTGCAGGGGCACATACATTGTTGGATTTGGAGATGTACTTAAAGGAAAGTTCTCGAACGAGCATTCGACACTCCTAGTTCTAGATTCAGCCGTCCCCGGTGACCGACTGATCACTAATCTAGCCCGTGCTGGGTGCATTTGGGAAACCATTTTTTATCAAGAAAAAATGCAAAGAAATAAGTAAAGAAGAGATCAGGCGGTTACCTTAGAAGAAGGTAACAAGAGTCGTCGGTCTGGGGCTTCTGGTTGAGCAGGCGAACTAAGAGGGCCGACTGTCGGATGCTGAAGAAGTCAAAGTCTTTGCAAGTCAAATTCAAAGATTCTCCCAAAGATTCACGCAAATGTGAATGCAAGGGAGGTTAACTCCTCTATTTATAGAGGGGGTAAAATGTTCAGGGTAAAACCCTAAAACTAAGTGAACACTAAAAAGTAACTTTTAGGCCATTCATAGCCTGACACTTGTCACAAGCGTCATGTGCCAAGCACGTGACCCCTGTGAGGGGCAAATGTTTTGGGTATTTTATACCTTGCCAAGTGGCCCAATCAAAGTTTGACATGTGTCACTAGAAGGGGCGCCAAATCGGATCTTCCAGACGGTGACACGTGTCAAGCAGATTAGCTCCTGATTTGGGTTATTAAAACAGTGGACCAATGAGAGAGCAACACGTGTCACCCTGGGAGGCGCCCAAATGTCACTCAGATGTCCCTTCTCAAAAGGCGGCCTTCAAGGCCCAAACTTTGAGGGCGCCGCAAAGCGAGGTGTCCTAATCCCTAGGTCATCAAACCCTAGGGAAGGCACACTTCCCAAGGACCCTATAAATAGGGATATTCCCCTCATTTATGGGGACACGATACGTTAATTATTGCAATTATTACTGAGCTGTCGTTCTCAAGAAACAGACAGCACCTGAGCTTGAAATCCGAGCAGATAAGTTAATTTCCGCACGTTTTATTCCATCACTTTACTAACTTAATCTTCGGAAGCAGACCACCGACCATCCGGTGGTCCGTTTGTTTTGCAGGTACATGCGACCTTGTGAATCCAGTCTTGAGCTGTAACTCTCCCGAGGGACACGAAAAACCCCGAAACAGGTAACATAAATGCAAAGTGATTAATTTTTTTTAAAAAAAAAAGGAATTTCCATTTTATTACCGGTTTTTGTAGGTTTCCACCGGAAAAATTACCTTTGGTCACTTGAGTAGTACCCAATTTGCAACTTCCCAAAATTGGGTACTCAATTTGCAACAAAGGCCATAGTTTAGTACCCAACTTTTACATTTTTTTTTTTGGAAAATATGAATTTTATTGCCAAAATAAGAAAGTTACAACTTACAAGAAGCTAAGCTGTAACAACACCAAACACCACAGACCAAAAAGGCCAAACCAACACCAACAGTCCAAGAATCTACCCAAACCACCTTCTAGGAAGGGTGCTTGAGAGAAACAAGGACACCTACTGGACTCAAGCTCACATCCACCTTCTAGGAAGGGTTTTGAGAGCTAGGACCAGACAAGAACACCTAAGACAAAACCAACACAAAAAATAGACAAAAAGAGCAGCTGAAAACACCAAAACTAGCTAAAACCAGCAAACAAAGAAACAAGAGCAGCTAAAAAACAAGAGAAAAACACCAAACTACCAGCTGCCAAAACAAAAAGGCAACACCAGCACTCAAGCTGCAACAAACTTGTTGTCAAACTTGTTGTCAAACTTGCTGACCAGAAACAGCAGCAAACCAGAACCAGCAAACCAGAAACAGCAACAGCAAACCAGAACAGCAGCAGCAGCACCTGAATCAGCAAATGCAAAAACAGCAACAGTCTGCCGGAACAGCAACTGCAGAAACAACAACAATGCAGCCAATGCCAAAGCACCTGAAAATCAGCTGCCACCCAGAAATCAAGCTGCAGCAAGCAGAAACAGCTGCTACAGACTTCAGAAATCAGAACAACAACAACCATCTGGAACTAGAACACATCAGCAAAACCTGTTAGAACAGCAACTAGAACCAGCTCCTTGTCAACCCAACTGAGCAAAAAAAAAAAACTACACAATCAAGTGCTTGCTTCCAGCTGGGATTCTACAACCAACTTTTACATTTACTCAATGATTAGGTGTTATTTTTAGTAATAGAAGGAATATTTTGAAACATTTTAAAACACCCTAAATAGTATGTTGTGTGTAATCATGAGACGGAAGGAGTAAAACGGAAAAAACATATGTTATGCTTTGGGCCCCCTTTGGAGCTTTTTCACTTTTACAGTTTATTACTGCTGCACCCCTTCCTCACTCTCTCCCCTCCATTTTAGCGTACTTGGAGAAATACTCCATTGAAGCGCCTTCTGAATTTTCTCTCCTGCATTAAATCAGCGTCTCAGAGGTATGATGTTTTCTTTGATCATTGATTATCAATTTCTCATTATACCATTTCAATTTAATTATCAATTTAGTAAATTTAGGGTTCTTCAAAGGTGATTTTTTGAATAATTGGTTATAATTACTGAATGAAGTTATGTAAGATTATAATGAGCGATTTTATTGGTAGAATTTTTCTGTTCATATCTTTTAGCCCGAGAGAATTTAACGTGATTTTTTGAGTTATTTTGATGATTGAGTCATGAATTTGTTGCTAATTTGTTTCAGGCTTTTGTTCACAAAACCCTTTAATGTCAAGACGAAACTATGAAAATGTACCTTGTCCCCCTGAGCCGAAGGCGGCTGCCTCTCCGGCTTTGGCTCAGGGACCAGCTTTTGACGAAACACAACCAATGGTTTTTGATGATGAAACACAAATTATGGAACTTTCTGGTGAAACTGATGTAATAGATGATGATGGGGGTGATTTTGGTGATCAAATGGACACCCAGTTGTTAGAAGTGTCGGATGATAACGAAGGTAGCGAGTGCACTAGTGGTAGGAAATGTATTGAAAAAGCTGAAACTTCGGCAGTGGGTTCAATTGACGTTGAGTTGCAGGACAGAAGTGGCAACCAAACAGCTGGCTTTGTGGAAAAGGAAACTTCTAATTGTCGGCGAGAGGATGGAGGAGATAGATCAGAATCAATATTATCAGGTGATGTAGTACCGTGTTTGAGTTGGCCAACTGCCTTTCTTTTTTCTTACTGTTTTTTTTTTTTTTTTTTTTTTTTTTTTTCGGACTTTGACTTTCTATGTATATACCTGCGTATTCATGGTTTATTTAAGATTAAATGGCAATTTTGCTTCTATTATAGTAGTTGTTTGGGGTTGCTGGAGAGGGGTTGTTTAAAAATTTCTTTATATACATTGTCCCGCTGCCTATGAGCTATGGTTATGCAACTTGTAAATTGTGTATAGATTGAGTTCTAAAATTATGATTTTTACTTTTTTGTATGGTGCTGCAATTACCAGTTCATTGATTGCAGTTGTTATAAGCTTTATCATTTTGGTGTCCTGAAAGTCTGCAACAGATACTAGTGCTTATTTGTAAAAACATTATTTCAATTGTTACAGCTAAAATTTTCTTTCTCAAATGTATTTAGTCCTCTGATTGATCAGCCTTTCTTGCAGGTTCTGCAAAAAGAGGATCTGCTTCTGTTTGTATAACAACTTTACGGGCTGCTGGACTTGCAACACGTCAGAAGAATGTTGACAATGGATCTGCTGAGATTCATTGCTTTGATGATCGTGGCATTAGTTCTAATGTTGAGAGAGCTAGTGGAGAAAAAGATATGGAAATTAGTGAAGAGGAAGGATCAAGGGGTGGAGAGAAAAGCAGTGTTGTCAGATCATTGGCGCGTAAACTGTTTGGGGAAGAGGATGTAACTGATCCAGAATCTGATCATAATATCGGTGATAGTGGTAGTGGTAGAGAGGATGATGTCTGTAATAATGACGTGGCAGGACTGAATTATGTAGATTCTCAAGAGCCTGGAGAACTATCACAAGCTAATGCACTTGAATTTGTTGACAGATTCCTGAAAGTTAATGTGTTTGAGTCAGATGAATCTATAATACGTAAAAATGCTGTGGCTGAAAAAAAAAGTCCTGGAGCCATTGCAAAAGGAGCACAGAGCGTTGCTCAACAAGCTAGACGTAAAAGTATACTTGCTGAAGCTTCAATATATGAATGGGATGACAACCTTGAGGAGGAAGGAGGTGGCGAGTTCTTCATTAAGAAGAAAGATATGCTTTATGGGACCCCTAAGTCTTGCCCAAAACCTCAGAGTTCCCGGCATCGTGAAACCAGAGAAAATAAATCTCTTGGAAAGTTACGAAATGAGAAAAAGAAGCAAAATCTACATAATTCCGTGACAGGCCTTTTAAATTCTGATTTAAAAACAGTAAATGGTAGAGAGAATGGTAAAGGCAGGGAGATACATACAGAAAAGAAAGTATATAATTGCTCTGGTCAGGAATTAGGTTTGGGTTCTTGCAGTAAAGATGAATCAGCAGGAGTGCAAGAGGCATCAGCAGTAGTGCATGATCCTCAATCAGCGGATATAAATAATGTGGGAGTTGACACTCAGATGGCCGCTGAAGCTATGGAGGCACTGGCTGCGGTAACTGAACTTGTGAATTGTAATAATATTGCTGATCTAGGTTGTCATAGTAAGGAAGGGCAAACTCAAAAAGAAGTTATGAAAAATGATCCTTCCAAGCAATGTTCACTTCAGAAAAGAGCGTGGTTCTCTACATCAGGAGTTGTTACTAGATCCAGAAGTAAAAGGACGATCATGACATGTGGACGATCTACCATGGGAAAGTTTGATGTTGACCTAGTTAACTCTATGGTGAAACAGAACAGGTCCAGTATGAAATTTTTTTCGACAGTAGATAGGGAATCATGTGATGGAGGTGCAGTGAGTGTTGGTGGCAAGCAACCAAAGAGTAACTTTGAAGGACAACTAATTAATAATCCACCTCAACCATTAAAAAGGCGGAGTTTACGAGGGAGAGCTAGTACATTTACGCCAGTTGTTCAACAGGCTGCTCAGAGTTTAATGCATCATCATAAAAAGAGGAAAACAACAAATAATATGGTCTCTGAAAATATGGATGATGCACTTGGTGATTCTGGAGAAAGGCACTGCCTGGATTTAGTTTATGAAAAAAAGCGAAAGACAAGAAGTAACACAGTGTCTGAAATTTTGAACAATAGAAACGACAGTGCTTCGGCTAACAGCAATAAGGTTGATGGGTTGAATTGTAGAACAGGACACATTCAGCGTGCCTCTAACGAGGACCAACAATGCGGGGACAAAAGGTACACATTTAGTGCTGATAGGGGCCCGGAATTCACATTGGGGTCTATTGCTCGACAGACAAGATCAAGGTCAAGGTCAAGCACTACTCAGCGTGCAGGAAGTACACTAGATGAGATAGGTCTCTTTTCTAGTGGAATGCTATCATCGTTAAATACTCACCAATTTTCTTCCAAGAACCAAGATGCATCATCCCCTCTTGCCAAAGGAACCTTAACCTCTGCCACAATAGATGGATCACCTGGAAACATGCCTAAATCATCTATCCCAACATATAGAACTCCTGTTAACTTAAAAACTCCTAGAACTTCAGTTTCACCCATTTGCATGGGTGATGGGTATCATACACCATCTTTTAAAAATAGTTTATCACTCAAGAAAGAAGTCAGTGGTTTGATTGCCAGCGAGCAGAGAACCAGCTCTCCCTTCAAAGGTTTGAGGCAGAGAAGAGATATGCATAATGTTCGTGTTTTGTTCAGCCAACACTTGGATGACAATATCATTAAGCAGCAGAAGAAGGTAAGTTTTCTAGTGAACCCTGGTCTTTATGCTGTTAAGTTTGAATAGCTCCAACTGTGTGCCTATCTCTTGCTGCAGATTTTGTCTCGTTTCGGTGTTTCAGTGGGTTCTTTGATTTCAGAAGCCACACACTTCGTTGCTGATAGGTTTGTACGCACAAGAAACATGTTAGAAGCTATTGCTTATGCAAAACCTGTTGTGACACCCTTGTGGCTTGAGAGCTGTGGACAAGCTAACTGTTTCATTGATGAGAAAAATTATATTCTTCGTGACGCTAAGAAGGAGAAAGAGCTAGGTTTCAACTTGCCAAGGTCATTGGCGCATGCAAGTCGCTATCCTCTTTTGGAGGCAAGTCTTATTTCATTTTTGAATTTTCCTTCTTGCACAGAAAAGGCAATTTTCAGCTGATATGTTAACTTATTAGTAATTACCTGCAGGGTAAAAGAGTTCTGATCACTCCTAATGCAAAGCCTGGGAAAGAAGTAATTTCAAGCTTGGTGAAGGCAGTTCATGGTCAGGTATAGATTTCATTCGTCAGTGTTGCTTGCTTTATCTGCACACCTCTCCAATAAAGACTTCCCCCCCCCCCCCCTCAATACTTCCTCCATTCTCTTTTACTCACTACGTTTTGACTTTCATGCTTTGCAATTCATAATTTTAACCCTTTATTTCTCTAATAAAGTAAGATAGAAAAAATTGTAAAATATCAATATTGTGAAAATATAAATCGAGATGAATCTAACTTGACCCCACTGACTATATATTGTCCAACCTATAAATAAACAAATATGTCGTCCAACCTATAAATCAATAAAGGTGATCAAATAAGAACTTGAACATTGCAAATTATCAAACGTTGCAAGTAAAAGAGAGAGGAGGAAATAATTGTTTCTATTTGGAAATATCTATTCTACTTTTGAATTTGCAATTCATAATTTTAACCCTTTATTTCTCTAATAAAGTAAGATAGAAAAAATTGTAAAAAATCAATATTGTGAAAATATAAATCGAGATGAATCTAACTTGACCCCACTGACTATATATTGTCCAACCTATAAATAAACAAGTATGTCGTCCAAACTATAAATCAATAAAGGTGATCAAATAAGAACTTGAATATTGCAAATTATCAAACGTTGCAAGTAAAAGAGAGAGGAGGAAATAATTGTTTCTATTTGCAAATATCTATTCTACTTTTGAATTTGTTTACATGATGAAGGCCAGAGTGTTGTTACTTATGTTCTATGAAGCATGTGAGGTAGGCATTGAGTGAGAAGCCGTAGGGATTTGAAAGAGGGGAGAACTTTGATGTTTTAGTGATTAAGGCTAATCATGAAAAGTGTATGATATTGAATCAATCAAACTCATTAACCTAAGCAACTCCATATTATCAATCTCAAACCAACTAAATTATAGTAACTAAATTGCAATACAAAAGGGAAAAGTTAGTCACATAGATTGGAGAGAAATCTAGATTGGAGAGAAATCTTCATTTAATGAGAAGGTGTTTTACAACTCAATCCCCTTATATTGGAGGCAAAATAAAAGGATGCAACCTTGCTTATCTCTTAGGGTTTGTTCAGTTCAGCTGCTTAATTTTAGTTCAATTCAGCTCCAGTCAGTTCAATTCAGTTCCTAATTTCCTTCGCTCATAGACTATTTATTTCAACTCAGCTTAGCTCCACTCACTTCAGCTACTCAGTTCTCAACAGCAAATTAGAACATGCCCCTAACCATTTGATTTTAAAATAGAAGGGAAAACGTCCATTTGATTTTGCAAAGTGCTCTAACTTTTCGTGTAGTTTTGTGTTTGCCTTGTCCAAGGTCCTTATAGTTACTCCAGATTGAGAGGATTCCTCTTCCATGAGCTAACTTGCAAGTCTCCCTCTAGGTTAAAGTGTAGCTCTTTTAATAGTTACTAGACTAAACATACGGAAGAAATCGGAGGTTCAATCGCTAGATGTGTCCTTAATGCCTATCTATTTTGCACAATTGACATTATTTAATTAAGGAGTTTTTAAAGAGGCTGCACCTACTTCTATGTTTGTTAAGTACGGGTGTTGGATTCAAGTCACGTATTCAAGTCCGATTTACCGATGCCTAACAAGGCTTTGGATTTTTTTTTTTTATTTTTTATTTTTATTTTTTATTTTTTATTTTTTTTTGGAAATTTGAACATGGTTAGAGTGACATGAAATTAGAAATGTATTTATCTACTTTTATTGTGGATAACACATAATTAAATTTTTTTTAAAAAAAATTTAGTCATAATCATATTGAATAAATTTTCATAAATATCTCTAATTATCAATAATTTAAAATCAAAGGAAGTTGATATTTTTTAATTACACATTGAAAAGAATTAAGATTCCACATGACTTCTTTTTTTCCTTATTTATAAACCACAATTTTCCCAATGCATAAATTCAACCATAATTATCTCTAATTTCCAATAATTTAAAATCATGAATAGTTGATATTTTGAAAATACACATTGAAAATAATCTCGTAAGATCCCATGTGACTGCATTGTCTTATCTCTAAACCACAAATTCTAGTCAAATTAAAATTATTGAATAATGTCAAAAGTTAAAACATGTCAACTAATTTGGAACAAAAGAAGTATGTGTCAGAGTAGATTTCCTTTCTATAAGCGTGCGTCTTTGTTGCTTTAATTAGGGTGGAGCAAGTGATTTTCCATCCGAAGAAACACCTAAACTTTTTGTATTTTCTTGATCAAGGAGATAATTGCAAATAATTTGTTGGATATATTAAAGGTTCATTACAAATACATATGTCAAGAGAGAATATTATTTTAATCATGTAGATTCAATAAAACTATGGAAATAATCCCTTACATTGTTCAAGGTTTTCCTATTTGTAAATCCTTAATTAGTGAAGCTAATGGAAAATTTGGTGCCAATGATGGTCTAATGGAAGAAGTATAATCTAATGATTACGATCATTATTAATTCAAAATTGATCTTTTAAAATGTTCTCAATGTCCCTACCCTTCCTTCTCTATCTCTTTGCTCACTATTTCTTTGCTTTATGTTTTTAGCAAAACTTAAGTTGATTCTTAAAACTTTGCAATACAATATCTGTAGGATTAACCTATAATGCATCAAAGCCATAAGGCTAACCCTCTTTCCAATGCATCCAAACCAAAAGTCCAACCCTCTTTCCCCTACCTCTCTCCCTCATTCTCCAACATTTTGTTACTTATTTGTATTACTATACTAAGTATTAAAACTATACTTCAGAACACACTTTCTTTAAAGTGCTCTACCTTACCCTTTTCCTTGCTCTCTTTATTCCACTCCTTCATCCTTTTCCACCCTTGCTCTTCTATTATGGCTTCACAAGTTTCTTAATAGAAAATTTGTGCGAAAGAAACATATCCTCTCAGATTAATGTCTTTGTTGCAACCTGTGTGTTTCCCTAACAATTGAATACAAATTTTAAATTTCTCGCAATTCATATTGGTAGATATTTGGTCTCCCCCCTCCCTAATTCCTCTTCCATATTCTACACTTTATTACTCTCTTAATTCACTACATCCTTTAATTATAAACTTTCATGTTCCCTCCTTCCTTTGGATAGTATATATTGAGTTGAGTTTATACATCTCCTATAATTTCTCTCTCCCTTCATTTACCTACGTATCCTAATACTACAACTTCAACCTCTTCTTCACTCTCCTTCCTTCCACCTTTCTCTCTTTTGCTCATCTAATCTAATTTCACAAGTTTAAGTGAGCCTTTTATTGTTTCCTTATGTTCCTTATTCCCTTCATTTATCTAAGGATATTATTTTATGGTTTAATTCAAAGATTAGAAAGTAGAAAAACAATATATTCTTGAGGAACAATAACAAAATGTTATGTTAGGTTGAAAATAAATCTTCATTGTTTTAAAACCCTTTTACATCTATTTCGAATATATTTGTGCACACAATTTAGAAATAGTTCATGCATTATAAATGTTTTTATCCTCCGTTTTTTTAGTTGCACCACTTTTATTTTCATTGTCTCCTAGGCCATTTTTGAAGAGGAGTGAGAGAGAGAGAAAAATAAGAGGCACCCATGTGGGTAGGAGAGAGATAGAGAGAAAGAAATGTCAAAAATAGAAAGTGTTGCAAGTAGTAAACAATTTCCAAATAGGAAAGTATATTATCCTATTCACTTGAACTGAATTATATTTTTACTTGATTTAACATGTGTTTTGTTGAGCCTTATAATTAAGAAACTTAATTAATCCCAACTAAATTGCTTGACGTCATGAATCCAAGTTTAGACTAGCATACAATAAAAAGAAGAAAAAAAAAAGTGGGAGGCGTGTGTGCGCCTACACGAGTAAAAAAAAAACTCACAAGAAATGACTCAATTGCAAGGCATATCCATATACTCAAATGCTACTTTCTCTGCTCAACTCCATTTGAAAATGGATTCCATATTTTCCATCTTTACAAGAAACAAATAAAGGTTGAGTAGGATTGCCATTATTATTTTCTACAGAAAATTATCAGGGGAGAGGAGAGAGAGAGAGAGAGAGAGAGAGAGAGAGAGAGAGAGTGAGAGAGAGTGAGAGAGAGAGAGAGAGAGAGAGAGAGAGAGAGAGGAGGGTAAATAGAGAAGAAGGGTGTTTAATTTCATTATAAAAAAAATTGTGGGTTTGAAAAGTTTAGTTGAATAATTGGATTGATGACCTTAGTGGGATTTCACTAGATTGGGATGTTTTTTTTTTCTTTTATTCTTCAATTGCAATGTGATAGCTATGCCGGAATTGTGACGCCCTTGTCGGATTGTCTTAACTTGGTAAGATGCTTGCCAGAAGTGTATGTTGGAACATGGAAGAACTAAGTTTAATGAACTGTGAATGTTGAGAGGAAGATGAAGGAAAGTGAAAAATTAAAAGGAAATGCTACAGTCATGATTTAATCTGAGTTGTGAATTTTGGAATCTAAGGGTTCTTACTACTTTTCACCCTTCTCAGAGTTCTCGCTGTCCTTTTATTTATAAATTTTTTATTTATTCTGTAACCACTTTCCAGTTCCCATGTCATATACCACATGCATATTGTAAGATGTACTAAATTTCGCAATGAATGCTTCCAGGCTATAGAAAGGATGGGCAGATTCATATCAAATAATGATGACCTGTTGGTCCTATCCTGTGATGAAGATTTTGAAGACTGTGTGCCATTGTTGGAGAAAGGTTACAACTTTACTGTATCGTTTTGTGTCATTTTAAAAATTGTTTGGAGCTTTAAAATGAGGTTCCAATCCAACTATTGTTGAGGTATTTGTTTGCAGGACTTGCTGTTTATAGTTCAGAGCTTCTACTCAATGGAGTAATTACTCAGCGACTTGAATATGAAAGGTAATTTTGTCATACAATTGTATTCTTCCGAAGATCAGTTAGTTTGTGTTAAAAAGAGGAAGAAAAAGAAAATCGTAACTGCTATGAAATTTGGCTCTATTCTTGTAATTATGTGGACCTGGTGGTTTTGCCCAGTTAATTGAATAAGAACTGAATGTTTAGATTTTTGGCATGCTAAATTTTAGCTAAAAGCTCCTTGATTTTGATTGTTTTTATTTATTTGTATGATTATATTTATGTGTTTTCAATTTCAGATATCGTCTCTTTGTGGCTAATGTAAAAAAAACTCGCTCAACGTTATGGCTAAAGAAGGGTGGAGAACAGTTTCTTCCTGTTACCAGAACTTAGTATACCCTTGAGTAACTTTGTATATTCTTGTACGAGTTGTACCCTTTTCATGTTTGTGCAGCCTGCTAATGTAAATAGTTGCATTCGCTTTATTTGTTCTATTGAAGTGCGCTTTTGTATTTCTTCTCCGTCTTAGCTTCAATCTATTTGTTGATTCTTTGTTCTTGGCTCCCAATTAGCAAACCTGTGAAGTCTACTTTGTGTTTCATCCCCATCTTAGGTTTAATATATCTGTTAATTCTATTGTTCTTGGCTCACAATTTACAATTTCAGAGAAGGTAGTTTTTAATTTCAATGGCGATGGTGATGATATTGTATACGTTTGTGAATCTTCATTTATGAACACTTCATTTCACTATATTAGTTACACTCGGGTTATTGAGTTACATGTTCATTCAAGTCTTACTAGTAAATTGCGTTATCTTCGCACTATTCTGTTATTAGCTTAGACTATTTTAATTTAAAAATATATTTTTTTTTAATATGAAAACTTGATAAAGCATCAACAACTTATCAAATAATAACCTATCTTGGTCTCACTTAGCAATAATAAAGGCAAAAAACGGTTGAATCCATGAGAGGCGTGGAATCAACCATTGTTAAATAAGTTAGATTAATATGAGGATTTTGTTAAATAAGTTAGATTAATATGAGGATTTTGATTCGATTTTATCTAGCAATTATAAGTTCTAATCAACTAAAGTTGAATGATGAGAATTGTAATAATAGGAAGGTCTGAGGGGGATATACCATTTTTCGCGACCAAGTGAATAACGACCACCTCGTTATGATGTTGGCTGTCGCAGAAATTTTAGCGATCGTTTTTGCTATTTACAAAGACCGTCAGTGTCGGTCGCAATTTGGCCGAATTTTAGTATTGCAAAATGAAAGATATAAGCAAACAATTAAAATATACATATCAGCCAACAAAATAAATATATCAGCCAACTAAAGAATCATATAAGTCAAATGATGTCTGAAATTAGCAAACAAAAGGAAAAAAAAAAAAAAAAACCTACCGGCCAACAAAAAAATATATATTAGCCAACTTAAAAATAACCATATCAGCCAACACATAAAACCTATCAGCCAACAAGTAAAATATATTAGCCAAGCCTCTTGCACCATACAGTTCGTATGTCCGTCCGCACGCAATACGATCTCTATTTAAAAACGGCTGGATACACATTATTTATCCTAACTATTGCTGATTTACTTTTAGCCCAACTATGGTTATTATCTAATAATCCTAACTATTGGGGTGTTTGCCAAGAGTAGTCCCAGTTTACAACTGGGAACCTGTTAAATAAGTTAATTTTTTTTTTAATAATGATGTAGCATTGTTGACCTAGAAAAAACTTAGGTTTACCTGTCTTATTTCCTTTCCATCTTAAAAAATTTGCCACGTTACTCTCTTTCTCACTCACTCAACTACTCTCTACAAAAAATTGAAGCCCGCCATAATTGCTTCCTCTCTTCCATTAAATCATCTCAACCATAATTTACTTTCCAAAATTGGTAAAATTTCACAACAACTGGGTTTCTGATAACTTGTTGTTTGGTATGATTTTAGGGTACTTTTGAACTTTGTTTTCGTTATTATTCAACATCAAAGTTCATTATTTATCCTATCTTTATGCAAATATTGTATCATCCATGCATGCTTCACGGGTTGTTTGTGTTTTTGATGTAATGTAGTTGCTTTTAGCACTATGGATGCACGGGTTAATAGGTCATTACTACTAACCTAAACCAACTTAGAAATTTGTATATCTAAACTTACACAAAACTAGTTAGTGGCAAGTGAAGAGTCGAACCACGAAGACTAAGTGTATCAATCTATGCTAATTAGACTAGTAGGATGGTCGAGATATAGAGAGATGTATACCTAAACACTACTTAGAGAAAACAACTAAAACTAGGGAAAGTGAAATCCAATTACATCAATACATCAACAACAAAATTGCAATTAGGTGAAAAATGATCTCAATTAGGAACAACCAACACACTCAACTCACTCCAGCGCAATTAAGCATGCTAATTATCCTACTAAGCTAACTCACTCCCGTGCAACTAACCTAGCATAGAAATGGAAGAATCTATACTCTCAAACAACTCACTTCCGCACAATTGATTGAAAGCACAATTAATAACATAGAATTAATTAGCTAGAAAGATTCTAATCCATATAAGCATCATCCACACTCAATAATCAAGAACCAATTGCATACTAATCACAATCAATTATTCAATTCATCAACATAACCTTCATCCATTTTCCTAAAACTAAGTCTAAGCTAACATGCTGAACAAAAGCGTAGAAAACAAAGTAAAATAAGAAATAAAGCAAGAATCCAAAAACTAATCTAATTAAATACTCAAATCAACAAGCAAATAAGCAAAAACAAGAATTAAAGGAAAGAAATAAATTAAAGATGAGAGAAAGTTGGAAAGGCTCATTGAGTATATGAGAAAAGAATCCACAAATTGCTTCTTCAACCTCTCAAAATTCCATGAAAATTCAAGCTTCCTCTCTCTAAAACTACTCCTAAACTAGAGAGAGCTAGAGAATCCTAATCTAACCCTAAGAGAGAGGAAATAAGAGAGATGCCTAAAACTAATCTAAGGTGAATTGATTGTTACTAAAATTTTTATAGAGAAATAACCCCAAAAATGGGTATTTATAATACAAGAAAATCAAACCCCAAAAATGGGTATTTATAATACAAGAAAATCAAAGAGAAAAATGAAATAAAAATAAGTGAAAAATAAATTAAAGAAACGAAAGGAAATAATAAAAATAATGTAAAGAATAATAAAAGGAAAAGAAGGTAAACAAAATTCCCCCAAAACAAAAGTCAGACCAAAGAATTCCACTGTCTTCCTCATTCCTTGGGCTCATCTGATTTCATCATCAAAACTCATCATCATGATGCAACTCAGATAATAGATTAGCCAAGCTCAGCCCAATTGAATGGACAAGAGTTGGATTGATTAGCTCAGAGAAAATCCAAGGAAGAAAGGAATTCTCAAGAGAATAACCAATGGAACAGTAACAATGACAGACTAGAATTTAGAGAGAGAAAGAGAGATAAGTAGGGGAAGATTGTTGTAATTTCATTGATTATAAATGTATTACAATCTAGAGACTATATAAATAGCTCATTTCTTATAAAGCTAGATAACTTGACAGAAATAAAAAAAAATTAAGAAATTAATCAAGAAAATTAAGAGAATCTTTCTGTTATAACATAATATAAAATATCTTCTCATTCATTCCCCTTAGCAGCTCTTCCCAAATTGGCATCTTCCACGCTGGTATTCAGTTGAGAATTCTGTTGCAGTTTTTCCATGTCAGTAGCCATTTCCATCTCACGTGCTTCCAGTTTGCCATGCAATGTAATAAGTCAGCTCCCTGAATTCTATGCTTGCATCAATACTCCCTTCTTCAGCTGATCCTCAACCCCAAGGATCAAAATTGGGAAATTGCTCCTTAATGGAGATAGCATCTTCCCAAGTAGCATCCTCTGGTGCTGTATCAGACCACTATATCAACCATTAAACCACAACATGATTGTGCCTTTTCACACTCCTCTTGTCAATCAAAGAAATAGGATACTTAGGCAAGGTATTGGTCTGAGGTACTGTAGGCATAGTGGCAGGCTGGTCTATAAGGGGAGTAGGGCCTGAATATTTCTTCAGCTAGGAGATATGAAAGGCGGGGTGAAATCTAGAGTACTTGGTAACTATAGAGTGTAAGCTACCCTGCCCACCCTCTTCAAAATCAGGTAAGGACCAAAGTACTTTGCTGCCAACTTCTGATTAGGTCTAGCTTGTACTGACTGGTATGCTGTAGCTCAAGATAAACCCAATCACCAATCAGAAACTCTCTTTCACTCCTATGCTTATCATCCTGTTGCTTCATTCTGTTCTAAGTCCTAGCTAAGTGCTCTTTCAGCAACTGAATAGTGTGCTCTCTTTGCTGTAAGCTTCTGTCATCTCTATCTACATTACTCAACCCAGTTAAGTAATGAATATGCAGGGGTGGCTTCTAACCATACAAAACTTCATAGGGAGTCATTTGGATAGCAAAATGATAGGTAGTATTGTATCAAAATTCAACTAAAGGCAGCCACCTAGCCCAATCTTGAGGTGTTCCATTGCACATACACCTAAGATAAGTTTCCAACCTCATGCTAAGGACCTCAAATTGTCCATCTGTTTGGGGATGGCAGGATGTAGACAATCTATGATGAATTCCCTGTAATCTCATCCACTCAGACTAGAAGGAGCTAATGAAAATTGATGAAAAGAGGAGCGGCCGCTTCAAAAATGCTGAGTGCCCGCTCTAAAGGGTTTGCAATTTAGGGCTAATTGGAGTGTGAGTTGCTGCGATTGTTGAGCTACAAAGCAGAGGGTGGTGCGCGGTGGTTGTGGCGGCTGACGGTGGTTGCGAGTGCTGGTGAATTCGGTTGCTGCTCGGGCTTTATGGTGGTATGACGCGTGGTGTTGGGCAGAGTTGCTGTTCGATTGTGGTTGCTTCCGCTACTATTATTGTTGTTGTTGTGAGTGAAGCGGCTGGTGGTTAGGCGAATTCGGTGGCCGATTGGTTGTAGGGTGCTGATTGGTAAAGAAGGTGTTGGTTCTAGGCGATTGTGAGTTGCATGGTGGTTGGAGGTGACAATTGCGTCAGTAAACAGGGGTTGAGAGTTAGTGTTCGGCGACTGGTGGTAAATGCTGAATTGAGGGAGCAAGGGAAGTGCGGTATAGTTTTGATTAATTGTGTGGTGATGGATAAGAGCAAAAGGGGCAGCCTCTTCATATTGTACATATGAATCAAATTTGAGAATCCAAAGTTGATTTGAACTTGAAAATCGAGCATCAACTCGAACACACCTACAACCAAAAACAAACACAAGGGTAGAACGTAATATAATAAAACAAAATGAAGTAAAATAAAAGGTTAAACTAAAATCTTTTATAAACAACAAAAATACTCAAAATAAAGATCAAATAAGGAAAATAAGAAAATGAGATAAATAAAGCCTAAAATAGGGAAATTATTAGAAAATAAACCGAAAAATAAGCATAAAATAACTTAAAAGTGACATAAAAGTCACTTATCGGTGATCAAGCATGAGTGAGAATGGAAAAGGTCAAGCTTGGTTGATAGAGCAGTGGAGAAAGAAGGATGAATTCCTTAAAGAAAAATGAAAAGCTTTTAGCCTAGAAAGCTTTGAAGGGTTATTCGAACAAGAGTCAACTTTAACTAACCATAACTTTTGTTCTACTTAACATTTTGAAGTGATTTAAATTGGATATTAATTTCGTCTCAACAGCTTTCCAAAGACTCGTTACAAGTCCATT